TTGAGTTTACATGCTTGCATGGGCCCTTGAGATTAAGGCTTGTACCCTTGGAGTTACGGAATTTGGAAAGTTGCCTCGCCTAAATTGGAATATGATGTGGCTGTAGATTCAACCTTCGGAGTGCACCAATTTTATTTTTTTTTTTGAACATAAGGGGATTTGGGAAGGTTCATTTAATTCGTGGGTGAGATTTCAACACCCAATCTAGAAAGGCCCGAACCTCTAATCACTTTGGTTTGGAAGTGAACCACTTAAGTCAAGATTACTGGTTCTTGGAATCAGTTCTCTTAAATGCTTTCAGGATTTGTTTGCTGCCAAACAAAATCTGTTTTCTGTACATTTACAGCCTGACCTGACGCATTGTAATAATCCTGAAAAATCTTGGCCATTCTCTAACAGTTACAGACTGAAGTACGAAGAAAAAGTAGAATTGATATTTATAACTTGAATGTCTTACATTGGTCATAGAATATTTGATCTAATCTACACATTAATCTTGAAAAAGGAAGCAGGAAACAAAAACATATATAGTAATGTTAAACAGAGAAGCTAAGAGAGTTAAGCATGGGGAACAACATGCAATCTGACTCATAGAATAATCCACAGTTAGTAAGAGTCTTGGTTAACATTAATCAAATTGTAGACGTTCCTTCCATATCCACGCTGCAGATCTAGACGATGGGATCTGAGTTTCATTACAAGTCTGTCATGGAGTTCACGGTCCGCATGCTTTGTTTCCTTGAGTGCTGTTTGGATGACATAATTCCCGAATTGATCCCTGGCAACATTAACTAGTACTTGCCCTTGACACTCCACAAAAGCTTCAACTGCATAACCCCTCTCCGAGGACTGGAGGCATCTTTCCACCACATGGCTGCCGCCTTTCAGCATCGAGATCCTTGCATAGTGATCCTTCAACAAATAGCATATTTTCTTAGTGATGTTGGGGTACTGGAGTCCCAGCAGCTTCTGCACCACAAAGTTCCCATAAGGATCTTGGGAGAGGCACACAGCTAAATCTGCAATGGCTTCCAGGAGATCATTTCTTCTAGGACCCTTAATCACATCAATTACACAATTCAGTGCCAGGCATCCATTAACATCCGTAGCCAAATCAAAGAAGTTCTTTATAGTTTCTTCGTACAGTAACTCATTGTCTTCAATACTAAGTGTCTCCATGCATTGCAATATAACATGACATCCCGTTTTATGGACCATCAAATGTAGGAACCCCAGATGCAGAGCTCTCACAATCGCACGATCTAAATAGTCTGATTTGGCCCCAAGTTTGATGAGCCTTTTGACTGAAGGAGAACCGTACCTATCAAGGCAAACTTCGATGAATGTATGATGGTGCATCACAATCATGGTTGCAATCATATTCAGCTGATTCTGATTGCAGAGGGGAATCAGGTTTCCGAACACATGATGTCCGAACTGATCCGTCATGATCTGAAAAATTGAGTCCATCACCGATTCAAAAACGAGGTTTATAACTGCTGAATCCTTGTAAGCTAAATACTGCTGGAGTTTTTGAGAGCCAAATTGAGTCAAAGCTGAACGGAGGATTATTGTGCTTTCAGAAGGCACGGATGCCACCGCATTCGTGGTCTCCCAGCCACCAAAATGGTTGGTTGAAGGCAAGAAACCTTTACTCGGAAGCTGCAAATTGGGGGCTGCGAGAATTCCTCCTGTGTTGCTCGTAGCAGGTGCTGTTAAGTACGGGGAAATTGCATATCCGTTGCCAATTCCATTGTTGAGATGAAGATTCTCAAAAGAATGCAAAAGGGTATCAGGAATAGAAACCTTGGAGTCAGGGATTGAAGGAGCAAAAGGAATTGGGTTCGCCATTGAAGCCGAACTACAGAGGATGAACAAGAGACACGAGGAAATCAAGAAGATGGGGGTGGAAGAGATGGTGTGGGTATGGAAGGAAGAAGTTGGGTGGGGATACCGGGTTTATAGGGTTTAAGGAGATTAGTACAATTCCTTGTTGAAGTCGACTGGATACGGAAGCGAGACATTACTATTTCTTTATGAATACGAAATTAGACGCACCCAAACGGTAGTTTCTCAAATATTAATTAATGAAAGATGTTTTATAATTCAAATTTTATTAAATTATAAAATAAAAATAATTAGATAGAAAGAATCTAAATATTAAGTTTCATTTTCATTCAATAATTAATGTAATGTCAACAACTTAAATAATTAAGTGATTATTTTTTTCTGTTAAAAGAAAAAAAATTTGAATTCGAGTCATATGATATGTGAGTGGTGTGAGAATATTGTCTCTTATTATACAATCATGATAAAAAAATAATAATAATTATAATTAATATAATATAATTTAATATAACTCGAACTATATTATATTTTTATTGTTAATTAATTTTTTTTTGAACATTTTTAGTTTTTCTAAAGAAGGAAAAAAATTTTTTTTTTACGAAGTATTGGAGATTTGGAGCTAATTATCAATGTAATAGAGGATGCAATGCAACTTAATGGTGAAGGATTACTGGGTTGATCAATGTTCAATAGATTTTTGTTTTTATAGAAATTGGATTTTTTTTTTTTTTTTTACAACCATTTGTTTCAACTATCACTAACAACCTAACAAGCTGACATAACATTTCTATGTGTCTTTCATATCAACTAGTTATGGTAGTAACTGGGTCTTGATTTTTTTACAATAAAAATATACTATTTATACAAACATTATATGATTTTAAAGGAGGAAATATATAAAATATAGTGCATCCCTCACCTAAATTAAAATAAAGTGGCATGTTAAAAACATGAACATATCATGTCAAGTTATAAGAAATTCTTGTCAAGAAATTTTTATTGATTTCTATCTCCGTCCATTGAAGTGTGATATATGAAAAGAGAAATTTAAGAAAAACTGAAAAGCAAAAATACTAGTCATTTAAATTCCATTTTTACCACCAAAAAAAGGCGTAATAAAAAATTTACGCCATACATTCAAAAACAATTGTTATTTTTTTACTCAAAGTTTGTCTAAAATTAATTTTTTTTTATTTTAACTACATACTCACTCGATCTCAAAAATAATAATTATTTTTTCTTTTAAATTTATATTAAAATAATTTTTATTTTTTTATTTTGAAAGTAAAAAAGTATTTTTTACTTTAATCATACTGTTATTTGTTTAGTTTAATTAATCATTCAAATTACATGAAGTCTCTTTGTATATTTTATTTTTTTATAAAATATTATAAATAAATACAAATATTATTTCCAAACCCTTAATTAAATCTTCATAATAACAAATAAAATCATTTCATCATCAGAACACATAAAATTGGATTCTAAAAGGATCTTCAGGCTTACCTGAGTTGTACGTTTGGACCATTAAGTCAAAAGTAACAGTATGGGGGTAATAAGTCAACAATGTACATGTTCCACATCCGTTCAATTGAGATCTCAAAGAAGACAACGTTGAAGCCAGTCGTAAATAGGTGGAAACCATTGAAACATTTATAGTATGTTGGAATTGAGAGTAATAGAAAGAAAGGAAAAAAAATATTTAGTTATTGAAAAAATTAAAGAGGAGAAAAGGAAAAAAGTTTTAAATTTTTTTTAATTTAGTTTATTATTTAAAGGGTGATGCTATTAGAACAACCCTTTTATTCCACCATTTTATATAACTTTACATGTTATTAAATGAGTTGATACATTTAATATAATGAGTTTCAAATAAATTAAAATAATTAATCATTTTAATGATACATCAAATTGTATAAAAAAGTAAAACAAAAAGATTGTACAAATATTATCTCCCTTATTTAAATGAGAAGAAAAAATGAAAAGGGAATAAAAAGGAATGAAAAGGGAACAGAGGAGAAAAATTTTCCTTCCTTCCTTTTCCTTCTTTTTTATTTTCCTCTAATCCAACATAGGGTTAAAATTGATGGTGGCACCAATGGTTGGGTTCCACTGTTCTCACTTCTCCTCGGGCTGATTTTTTGGGTTTCCAAAAGATGCAACAGTATTAACAAGGGGCTGGCCCAGCAGTGTTAGACTTGGGCTTTAGAGCCGAGTTTCTTGAATAGTCCAGCCCAGTTACTACGCCCCGGCCCCATTCTCGTCTCTAAGAGCTTTAAATAGTTTAAATGACTGATATGGCGTTTTAAGTTTTAATTTACCGCATTTTAGGAGAAGGAAAATCAGACAATAATATTGGATTTTTCTAACATGCAGCCTAAGAGAATAGTAGATTACAAGTTGAAGGTTAAAATTGCATTACTTATATCATTTTATAATAAAAAGTAAAAGTATACATTATTATTAATGCTTGCATTATGTGAATGATTTTAATCTAGTAGTTGATAAATTTAAAATTAATTTTTATTTTTATGCATATTAATTATAAAAGGATATAACTGATGCACTTTTAACTTATGCACCAAGGGCACAAATAGAAAAACCCAATGATATTAAGAAGAAATTTGAGATAGTCTCATGATCAAGTTTTGCATATTGATTAGGCCAAATGTACAAATTGTCTTCTAAAATTATCAAGTTGAAGCAAATTACCACTCAAAAATTATATTGACGCAATTTTTCATCTTAAATTTCTATTTTTAAGAAATCGTTTCAAGTTTAACCATTGTTGTTAAACTTTTTTAAATTGTTATTTTTAAAATCTAATGAAAAATTAATGATAATTATTAAATTTGAGTTGATTTCTTTAAAATAGAAATTTTTGGTGACAAATTTTCGTCAACATCTTTTTTTTTATGGCTATTTGCTACAACTCAGTAACTTTAAGAGGAAATCTACACCTTTTACCTTTGACTTGTTTACTAATGTAGAGATCTTGGATACCTTTAAGAGAAGAAAAATTAGATAATGAGAAAACAAAAAAGTGTTTTATAAATTAGATTGCAAATTTAATGTGCAATTTGTATACTAAAATTATTAAATTATCTGTAATAAAATTATTTTTTATATTATTTTATTAAAAATAATTTAATAATTTTAATATTTAAATTGTACTTTTAATAATAGTTTTTTAGTCATAAACAATAGCATGTATAAAAGATGAGAACTCTCCTATGTGGCTCAGTAGATGAGCCATACTACTCTACGAATAGCAGGTGGAGTTCATCCGATCCTTAATTCAACTTTGATCTTAAACAAAACTAATTCATTAACCTAGCATCCGCATTGTTAAAAAAAATTTTTTTTTGAGACAAATTATTTCGTGGCATTTTCGTAAAATTTTGTCTTTTACTTATCATTACTCTTGAAAAAACTTTTAATTACTTACGTTACTTACAGAAAATAAGAAAAAAAAAAAGATCTTTCTACTTTATGTCTTATAAAAAAAAAAGGTTCAACAGTGAATATGGCAAGGAAATTTTTTAAAGAAAAAGTAAAAAAAAAAAAAAAA